ACGTCGCGTTGACCGAAGAACCCACAAACTTGGACATTTCCTTGCCTGATCTCACTGTGGAGGTTGACACTGCAACAACTGAGGGCATTGCAGACCCTGACCTCATGGCCAGGGAGAGTGTGAATTATGCTCCCACTCCAGATCTTTTTGAGGAGAATGGTGTCTCCAGTGCAAAGCAAGTAAGCAGCCCGTGGTCAGGGCTCAAGCCATCCTAGGCTTGTGTGGCCCCTCAAGTCGGCTCCCCTGGGCCCACTCAGCCTTTGAGGCCAGCACCATGTGGTGGGAAGGGAAGCACTTGTTGGGGAAGCTGGGTAAGTTGGCAGCTCTTCCCCCATGCCTCCTGCAGGTGCCAGCCTTCATCAGGAACATGCACCAGAGACTGACAGCCAACGTGACTCCAGAAGAGGAGCTGCTCACAGAGTTTCTGAGGGTGACCAAGGAATACCCTGCTGATGTTGTGGTCACCCTCCTGCGCTGTGCCCCATCATGTGATAGGTACAGGACCCCCTGCCTTTTGGGCTCGGGGCTCACCAGTCTTTAGAGCCCTTCACCCTGTCCATCCCATCCCACGTGGTCTGCCAGAGGGATGGAGAGTTCCAGGACCCTGTGGCCCCTCTGTTTCCCAGCCCTGCCATGTCAGCCCCAATCCTGCTGCCATGCTCCCGCCCTGCTCCTCAAGGCCCTTTGGCCGGCACCCCCTGACACACAACTCTGGCCCCGCAGAGCTGCTGCCAGCATGTGGAGGACCATCGCCTCGTCGGGAACAGCACTGGAGAAGGTGCTGCCAAAGCTGCTCTCTGTGATGGAGGACTGGCCATTGCACAGCTCATCCACCTCCGACGGGGACAATATGCCTGTCTTTGCTCTGGCTGTGAGTTTCTGCAATGGGCTTTGGCTCCTTCCCAGGTCACCTCTCCAGTGGGTCTCCTTCCTCCCCAACACTGCATCTCCCTGCCACAGGCACTAGGCTGGTTAGGGCCAGGTTCAGGGGCACCAGGCCACGGGCTCCCCCTGAGTCTCCCCTGGCCTTTCCCTCCCATGCTCGGGTCCCGCCACATGGACATCTGGGCACTCAGAGCTGGCCCGGGTGGTTTATCTTTTGCAGTCAACCATCGTGGTTTGGGAGATTCTCCAGATGTCCCAGTGCCCAGAGCAATTGAAAGACTATTCCTCCCATCTCCTCGTGGATCTCCTCTTCCAAGTTTCCACCAGCAAAGAGCAGATGCCAGAGGAGGTTGACACATTCTGGAAGGGATACTGGGAGCAACATCGCCTTCCCACAGACTCCAAGAGGTGCTCCATCCCAGTCCTCTTGTCCCTTTCATGCCCTTGGGGCTGGGTCAGGGCTCCCAGCATGACCTGGGCTTCACTCTCCACACAGATTTGCAGTGTTGACCATAAAGGCCCTACTTTGCCGCCTTGAGTATGAGGATGTGGTGGTTTCAATGGAACAGAAGCGTGGCTGGGACACGCTCGTCAATGCTGACACCCACCACTACGCAGTGGGTCTACTGGCCAGGTGAGACCCCCTTGTCCCTGCTGCCCCTGTCATTTCTGCCTGGGCACGGGGAACCCCCACAGTGTCCGTGGGTCAGAGGGCCATGTCAGTGAGGGATGGCTGAGCAGATTGGAAAAGGCTGGGAGAGGCGGGTGCGCAGGAGGAGCCGCCTCCCAGAGTGCAGGTGTCCCTTCCGGGGGTGGTGGGGAAAGACCAGGCCTGTGTGAGTGAGCCCTGGCAGAGGTTTGCCCACCCAGCTCAGGGTTGATGGTGCCTGTTTCCCACTAACAGGGAGATGCGCCGTGCCTCGAGCCCCTTGTATTCCTGGATTGCCCTTTGCCTGCTGGGGCTGCTCATCAGGGACAAGCCCCGCTGGGAGCTTCCTGCCATGGCCTTCCTTGTGGAGGTGAGCCTGCTGGCGAGCGCTGCCTGGCCAAGCTGCCTCCACCTCTCAGCCCTCTGGCAGCCGCAGCTGCTGCCTGGGCACAGCCCTGTGCGGGTCCAGGCTCCTGCCGGCCGGGCACCCCGTCACTGCTGCGTGCCTTGCAGGTCCTTGACTGCCGGGATATGACTGAATGGAGCGACAGCTTCCTGGAGATTCTTGCAAGGCACCTGAGAAGTGAGTGCCCAGAGATGCGTCGCCTGGCACTCAGAGGCCTCGTGGTGCTCAGCAAGGATCCTGTGATGGTGAGGAGGGGGCAGGGGCTGAAGCCTTGCTGGAATCCTGGGGCTGGACAACGCAGTCACTTGGCCTGGGCTGGGCTTCAGGAGCTGTGGCAGCTGCTCCCAGCTCTTCTGCCATGGGGCCCGGAGGCCAATGGCCTGTCCTGAAGGGGTTGGCTCTGCAGCCGTTCCTGGCTTCACAGCACAGCCTTGTGTTCCTCACAGGCTGACGGCATGCGGACCCTGACACAAAGCCTCATGGACGTTCTGTGGGATGCAGACAGAGAGCTGGTCGAAATGGCCCTCTCTATATTCATCAATGAAGTTGAGGACAGAGACATCCTAATCTCTACCCCCACTGCCCTGCAGCTGGCTGAGGTGCTGCAACCACTCTTTGGCTACGTAAGTCTCTGTGCCCCCCACCACAGGCCCTGGGGGCTGTCAGGAAACTGTGGCCTGTGCATTTGCAGGCCTGTGCCCCGGTGGGCCTGGAACAGCCAGTGCTGAGGCCTTTTCTTCTTCCTTTGCATCAGGACAACATCCGTGTGCAACTGCTCTCCATTCACCTCTTCCAAAAGGTGATGGAGTTGGGAGTGGATGAAGGACAAGAACACCTGAAGTCACACGTGAACCAGAGCCTGATGCCGCTCTTCTTCAACTGGCACGACGAGAACCAGCAAGTGGCAGAAGTGAGTACTTTTGGGCTCTGGGGTCACAACAGGAGGGAGCCGGGCTGCCTCCTGCCCTGGCCTTGGTCCAGGGACACGGGTCCTGTGCCCTGGGCTGTGGTGCCATCTCCTGGACTCTGTTGCTCTGCAGGCCTCTTGGAAAGCGCTTCTTCGTGCAGCCTGGTTGCTGAAGAGGAGGGATCTTGTGGAGCTGTTGAAGACAGAGCAGCCGTGGAGGTTTAGCGAGTGCCTGGTAAGGAGGGACCTGAAGCCCCAGTCCCCAAGGCCCTGAGTGTGGGGATGGCACTGTGCCCAGCCAAGGGGCAGAGCCCCAGCCAACCATTCCCTCTGTGCCCTGCTGTTTTCTGCAGCTGGAGAAGGACAAGAGCCGAGTGGCCCAGTACCTCTGCCAGGCCCTGCCGTACCTGGAGAGCCCACAGGAGCCCGTGCGAGAGGCGGTCCTCAGGTTCATAGGTGAGCCACAAGGTCCCTGCCCGCCCCACTGCAGCTCGGCCCCAGCCCCGGCTGCTGCGTCCACTGGGGGGGAGCTGTGACACCACTGGGGCCCTGACAGCATCTGTGTTCCCAGGGATCGCCGGGAGGTACCTGAGGGGACAGCAGGTTGAGCTGCAGATCGTCATTGATGGTGAGTGAGAGCAGTGGGGACTGGTGGAGAAGCAGAGACCCTGGGCAGGGAGCTGCAATCCTGCCCCGGCTGTGGAGGGCTCTGCTCCCTGCATGGATGAGGAATGGCTTGGGCAGAACAGAGAGAGATTTCAGGGCCATGAGGGGTATTGGTGGCCAGCACCTTCTGGCTGATCCCCTTGGGCCCTGCTCCTCCTGGCCATAGCAAAAGCTGGCTGGGATGGCCTTGGCAGGAGGGGCTTCTTGGGTCACCAGAGATCTGGGCACTGACCTTGCCTCATTCCCTTTTGTTCCAGTTATTGAAGGCATGACTCATGACAGCGCTGCCATCAAAAGCCTGGCAATTCAAACCCAGAAAATCCTAATGGCTGTCCAGAGACCTCAGGCTTCTCCACATTCCAGCAGTTTGAACATCATCTCCAGAGTGTGCAGAATAGGGAGGCTCCTCTGTGGGGCAGCTGCCAGAGGTC